AAGAGGGGAGGGGGAGAGGCGGCCTCAGAAAGGGTTTATTCCCCGGTAGGGAGGACGTTCAGGTCTGTGGTGGGAAGCCTGTGCTCTCACCTCTCGGGCAAGCCGGGCACAGCAGACTGTACAGCTTAGCTCCTCTAAAAGTCTCCCCCGTTTTGATCAATACTTTCATCTAGCGGCTGAGAAAAAAATTCCAGTTGAAAATGTAGTTGAAACAGCTTTGTTCTCATACGTGTTTCCACCATAATAAAGCAGCCTTCTGAGGGAGGAATAAATTACATTGCAGTCTCTTTGCTGGCGCTATTGTAAGTTCCTCAGAGCAGAAACTGGTTTGTGTCCACCCCGCCCAGGCAGAGCCGGGCTCTGGCCCTTCAGCCCCCGCCAAGCCTCTGCCTGTGATCTGCTGCAGGGGAAATTAATAAACCAACGGAGATGATTTCAGTGTGATATATCTGTATTTTTCCTATTTTTTAAAAATAGCTGTGGTATTGTGTAAGCTCCACCCAGCTACATAAAGTCCAGGTGATGAATAGCATTGCCATGGGAAGTCGGTGGTTTTAAGTGCAATGGAAGTAAGAAAAAAACCACACGCAAAATGCCCCGGTTCAGAGCATTTTGGTCCCTGTCCCAGGCAAGGGGAGCTGGTTGCTCCTTAGTTACAGATTTTCAGCCCACTGGCAATTTGAGAGTCCCGTGTTTGACTGGAGAGGTGTGGGGCAGCAGGTCCTGGCTCAGGAGGACGGGGTAGGGGAGTGGCTGTAGCGCCCTTGCCTTACCTGGACGGATCTGGAACCGCCCATAAAACTGGAAACGTAATCCATGTAGAAAATAAGAAAACCCAAGCGAGAAAGGATGCCTTTTGTTACTGTTTTTTTCCAGGGGTCACCTCGAATTGGCAGGAGGATGTCCTGCTGCTCGGGGGCTGCCTGCTCCGGGAAGTTTCCTGCTGCCTAGAGCCAGTCACGTCCCGCTCACAATCTTGTGAACAGTATTTCTGCTTATCCACCACAGTGCTTTAGTGAAAATTGCCCTGGAAGGAGGGGCAGTCCCGTCCCAGGCAGCCGCGGGCGCAGCATGCTGGAGCGGCGCGGGTCACAGAGCACACCCTGCGGGCGTGCCCCTCACAACCCTCCTAGGGAGGCCACGTGTGGCTTTGATAAAATACATCAGACTTCGGGTGCAGTACTCGGACCACACACAGAGCTGGTTTGAGGATTATCACGTTGCGGGTGTGTTAACGCACAGGAACACACCATCACGCGCGCTGTAAACGCAGCCGAGTTCCTGTATCCCAGAGTAAATGCAGTTTGACAGAAGAAGAGGGATTGGTTGTAGGATCTACACGATCTTACCCCTGAATTACGCCTTGTATAAAACGTGAAATGCGTAAATGCGCTAATTTACACCGGCAGTCCGGGTTACCCTCTGAGCTGCTGCTGTGAAGAATATTAACAGATTGCCGAAGTACTTCAGCTTCAGAGGCTGAAATGGCTGAACCTCCCTGATCACGCGGGGTGTATCTCTAGTTACCAACCCGAGAAACATACTTCAAACAAAAACATAGGTTTCTTCTGAAGGGAATAAAGCCTAGGTGGTAGAAGCGTGAAAGCTATTCTTTACTTTTTTTTTTTTTTTTTTTTTGAAAAATAAAGTAGCCTATTTGTACATTGATTTTTCAAGCTTATCCCAACCATCTTCCAGCCAGGACCCACAATCCCTTTTTTATTTCTCTACATGCTACACACACAGATGTGGCTTTCACAGTGGAAATCAATACATCTGCAGGATGCCTCTGGTGCTCGTACAGTCCACGGCTTCTTTGGTTAAACTCTGCTAAAGCATAATTATCTGGAATGCCTTGTGACTTCCTTGGCAGTGCTCACGCAGCTTTCCGACCAGGAAGCGTTTTACCAGGGCATTGGAGCCCCACAGCACGTGCTGGAGAGGGAAAATCACCATCCTCGGGACAAGAAAACGTTTATAGAACATCCAGCTTGAGCAGCCGATAGGAAAGTGGCCATGTATTTGTTTCTGGACGTGGCTTTGAGGCGGATCTTGGCTTCGTTTGGCTTTGGGTGTTCCCACCACAGGTCACATTAGGGGTTTGCCGGGGTCCTGCGCAGCCCCGCGGGGGTGGCAGCAAGGGGGGACTTGACCCGCTACGAAATCCCAGTTTTCTCCCAGGAAGGAGGCTGCTGGCGAGGCGCAGGGCCCGGCCACCCGCCCGTGGTCGGAGATGCTGCCCCTGGCCCAGGCGCTGCCCTGCCCCGCCGAGCCCGGGCCCTGGCACCGCTGCCTCCCCCCGATCCCTGCCGCGTGGTCGTAGTAGCAAACCGATCTGCAACGTGACATTATCCCCGGCAATCCACGGCTCGGGCTTTCTCCAAGCAGGGAACAGAAGGAGAACTGTCATGTTAACATTTTAGCTGACTCCAACCTCCTCCTTTTTTTTCTTTTTTTCCAAGGCTGTGTGTAAAATCCGCCTCTTCTTCCCTACGCTGCCAGATGAAACTGCTGTACGACACTTCTCGTAGTACGTGAAAACCCCTGCTTTTCGCAGGGAGGGGTTGAGTCACCAAATGTCAGCGTGAAACCCAAGACAACGGGTGAGTCAGGATGATTGCTGTGGGCTTCAGAAGAGGTGTTTCAATCCTACGATGCCGTGCCAAATCAAAATTGTTATTTTGGAAGATTTATATCTCTGCAAAGTGGGCCTATGCTGGCCGGATGCCAGCAGCCATATTTCAAGCCTTTCTTTCCTTTTTTTGATGGTAAGTACGATCAGAGCTCCAGACGTGACTTTTTCTGTGACAAAGGGATAAAGCTTTATTAGTGAGTACAGGAGGAGAAATTTCCATACAGGCAAACTTCTGCAGTTACAGAGAGCAGCAAGCAGAATTTTCTGCTACACTATTTCCGACCACTTTTATCCAAAAGGTGTAATTCCCGTGTCTTCTGCTCTTACAGGCAGCAAGGACGGAGCTTCCTGAGGCCCGCCCGTGGTGCTCACACAGACCCAGCCAGGTGCTTCTCCGGGGGTGGCACCACCTCCCGTTGTCTATATTAACCTTTCCAATAAGTGATTCTCCAGAGAATCAGGTCTTTTCTCTACCATGAAGCCCTTTTGTTGTGATTTTTTTTTTTTTATTTTCTTGCAATAACTTCCCAGCCATCAATGGCCACCTGATGAATGCCTGAATGCTGTAGTGTCTCTAATCACTTAGAGTCACTTGGGAGGAAGAGAGATAGCTGCCAGCACCTCTCCAGAGGCTAGTAATGCCTCATTGAAAGCTAAGATGGGAGGAGATGACAGACAAGCTCAAAACCACTCTGTTTCCAAGCAGTGAAGGTATTCTTAGGCTCACTCACATTGCCAATTAAAGAAAGGAAAATAAAAGAGCTGTCCTCTGGACTAGCAATCAACCAGCACAATTCTGGTAAAAATAATTCGAAGCAGCTTGCAGGAGAGGATGAGGCTCCACACACAGCCGGAGGAAGGCGGGAGCCTGTGGTTCCCAGCCAGAGCCCCAGCAAATGCCGCAACCCCGCGCTGAGGCTCCGTCCCCGAGAGCTGCTGCCGGCCCCGGCCCCCCCGGGCATCATGGCTGTCGCAGGGCTTGGGGGGACGTGGCCCCGGCCCTGCACCCCGCCGCCTTCTCCAGGGTGGGATTTCAGACACGTCCGTCCTCTCCATCGCTTCCCCGGCGCTAGAGGAAACACGGCTTCCCCCCAGCGCAGGTGGCAGACTCCGATGGGCTAGGGGGCTTCGCTTTCCAGCTTCTGCTGTGTGCCTGCCGCGCTTCTTCGGAGTTCTGGGAAAAGATATTCCTTAGGTTTTACTCTGGGAGCTTTAAAGCAATTCAGCACTCCAGTACCCACACTGCAGCTTCTGGAGTCTGGACCCCCCAGTTATGATTAATGAGAAATCTTAATGACGAGCCATACCAGCCTGCTTGGGTTTTAAGATTTATTGAAAAAGAATATAAACAATTCTGCAACCAGCAAAACGAAATAATGGCCCTTTGCAGCTGTATCTCCCTGTACAAGCTGTGCAGGGGTTTCTTCCCCGCTGAGGTTCACTCATTTATTGCGGACACTTGCTAAGTCAGGCTTTCCAAAACCTCGGTGTCCTGACGAGAGAGGGACCGACAGCCAGGAACCAAACCTTCTCGGGTCACGTCAGGGTACCGGAAGAGAATTTGTAGTGCTGATTTTGTCTTTGTGGTTTTTTTTCAGATGACCAACAGTGAGGGAAATAATAAATAATTAATATTTAATGAAATATTGGCTTGCTAATGATTTGGCTTTTGCAATCTGCAATGTCCCCGTGATTAAGTGCTAATAATAGCTCATGGAGTTGAAGGTTTTCTTGAGTCACGCCCCTTTCTTTTTGTTCACACAGGTGATTGCACGGGAACAATTTAGCCAACACGGATTTATTGTCTAGCAAGGCCACAGCCTGCCCCGGGGCCGCGCGTAGCCTCCTGTGACGGATCAGATACTCCAGCTGGTTTACTCCCAGTTTGACCCCCGGGTGCCCTCCCCTCAGTTCCTTCCAACGGAAGGCAGCAGAACCAGCTGAGCACTGCGAAACAAGCCCGGAGAAGTACTTTGCATCCCAACTGCTTGCCGATGCAGTCATGTTTGTCCCTTTGCTAGTTGTGTTTGCAAACATTTCCCAGGGCTTGTTTTTTTTTTTTTTTTAAAGTTGTTTTTCACGCAAGTGTTTTGGGAGTAGTTTTCTTTGTACCAGGAGCTGTATTTGTATATGAATGCTCAAATTTGTACACAAATAAGGCTGTCTCTAATCCATCTGTTATGAAACATGCCATAAAACCCGCAAATAGAGAATACTGTACAATTTATACCATGGCCACAATCCTCTCTGGTTACAGCTGTGCTGGGGGTGAGTTTTCTGCCCATCCCCAGCTGCTGATCATCATCTCAATCTGCCGGCAGAGCTGCCTGTGATCACTCTCTAATCTCTTTTATCCAGAATGAACCTATTAAGCAGAGAACTACCCTTGAAACGGTTTGAAGTAACCAAACTTCCTCTGTCTGCTCCCCGGTCTGCGTCCAGCGCCTGGGCAGCGCTGGGGGTGGAGCTGGACAGGCGACTGCCAAGAAGATAAGCAGGTAGGATTGCACTGAGGCTGGTTATCTTCTCAGCAGGTGTGATTGCAGCTATAAAAGTTTATCTCTAGGCTGGGTGATGCTTGCACATCCAAAACAGCCGAAAAGAAAGGCCAGAGAACCGATGGTGAGCTCTTCGGCAGCCTCCACTGGAAGTGCCCGCAGCCAGCCACGGCGGAGCTGCAGGAACCACTTAGGAGAAGTGAGCAGTTAATGCGGTGTGTGATGCTGAAAGATATAACTGGTCCAGTTCAATAATCCAGAAATCTTGTTCTGGAGGATATTTGTGTGTTGTAGGAGATAGCTGGGCAGGATCTGAATAGGAGCTGTAGTTAATTAGCCAAGATAAAGCCAGCCGCTGCAGCGTTTCTGCGCTGCTCTGGGCGCTGCCGTGCCTTTGGCGGTGGTGAGGAGGGGTTCTGTAGCTCTCTGGAGAAGTTTGCATTTTTTTCATGCTTTATTAGGGCTTTATTAACACTTGGCTTGTCACTCTGGGGTAGGAAAGCATCCTCTGCTGATGGCATGTGCGTGCAGGGGGTTGGTTAGGTTGGTCTGGCTACGCTGTGACCGAGGCTGCCTGTTGCCTTACGCTGGGTTTAATAGTTGTGGTGGCATCGGTGCTGCTGCCGCAGCCATCTGTGGAGAAGGGATTGCCAGGAGGCAGCGTGGGGTTAAACCACCGTGGTTCCTGTGTGCAGCGCCTCTGTGTTGACGCGCTGTGCGAGCTGCTCGGGCGCCGCCACGGATCACTGGCATCGGGCTCCTGAGCGGAGCAGCGGCTGGTGAGCCTGCTCCCTGTGCCAGTACAGGGGGGTCCCCAGCACTCCACCCGTCTCGCATACCGCTCCACTGGTTAGTAAGTAAGCATCCTCCATATCATACTGATGGTTCTCCTGGAGTTCAGATTTATTTTTTTCCCGTAAGCGAGTGCTGTGTAACTGATGGCTCCATGAGGCAGGTGGCAGTCAGCAGCCTGGCGGTGCCGCCCCCCTCGGAGTCCTGCTCCCCAAACACAACCCAGACACGCTCTAACGGGGTCTCTGCCTTTCTTCAGACTGTATTTCAGAAGCTGCTTCTGCTCTTTCCTTGACCTCGGTGCTCAGCCTAGCATCACTTTCAGGAACATGAGGTTGTATTTGGGTTATTCAGTTCCTGAGCAGTTTCCTTCTTGACCTTTTCTCAACCCTTTTCTCTTGAGTAAGCATTACAAAGGGAGAAATTGCCGTTCCTCTTTTTCCAATTTCTCAATCTATAAACACAGTAAATGACAACAAGCTCTCAGTTATTCTCTTTATAAGCCCTTGAGTACTGAAGTGAGCCCACGGATAACAGATTGAAAAGGCTACAATTAGGAGAGAAGAGAAAGAGAAACAGAGGGAATGTGAAGAAGTTGCTCCTGTGACAGCGAAAGCACCAAATAAATGCATTAGGCAGGTCGGCACTGTGAGCACTAATGCAGCACAGGCTGGAGGGTTTTGAATGCTTTTTAAATATAAGCTTAATAAACATCAGAGATTGTAGCTACAAAGCTGCAAGTCGGGTTTCTCCACTGTCAATGTTAGTTTTTTGACATTGGAGCTTGATCCAGATCCTTCATTCAAAGCAAGACAAACTCCTAATCCTTGCGTACAGCTTGGGAAGAGAGTACTTTGTGGTGTTTATGTTAGTGACTGATGACTTGCTTTGGTCTGCGTACTTCCACGTACTGTTCTCTGCGCCTTGTCGGTGGCCGGAGATGGCTGCAGCAATGGGCGTGTGCACAGCAGCTAATTGTCCTTCCAGTTATCAATGGTTAACTTCCATACAGCCAAATGAAAACCTTCGCAGTAGAACAGTGTTTTACAGCTCCTCGCAGTGGAAAAAGCTCCAGGTAGCTGAAGCTACAGAGGAAGTTTAGGCAGAAATGTCAGTTTTCTTAGGGCCGCGTCCCGAAGAGCATCTGCTACCACCTGCAGTGTTCATGGGGCTGCTGGAGTTCAGCTTTCAGTAGCCCGGTGCCCTGAGCATTGTGCTCACCCTGCCTTGTGCTGTCTGCTCTGCCGCCGGCAGGTTGTGAGGTCGCCCTGGAGCCGATGCTGATCTGCATCTTGATTAGTGACCTGGATGATGGGACAGAACGTGCCCTCCGAGAGCCTGTGGGTAACTGGGGGAGTAGCTGGTGGACGAGGTGGCTGGGCTGCTCTTCGAGGGGGACGCAGACAGGCTGGAGAAACGGGCAGACGGGGACTTTGTGAATCTGGCGAAGTGAAATGTTGAGTTCCGCATCTGGGGAGGAACTGCCCAGTGCACCGGCACGTGCTGGGGGCCGAGCAGCTGGAAAGCAGCGTTGCAGAAAGACCTGGGCGTCCTGTGGACACCAGGTTGACTGAGCCAGCAGCGTGCTCTTGCTGCACAGAAGTCGCAGCACCCTGCGCCGCGGGAGGGATGGTGCTGCCCGCTGGTCGGGGAGGTGCTTGCTCGGTCTGAACACGACAGACCTGTTTTTATTGTGAGGGTGGTCGAACACTTGAATGAGTTGCCCGGGGAGGGGTTAGGCTAGATGATCTCCAGAGCTCTGTGCCAACCTTGGCTGCTAATGCTGTTGGTGACCCACAAAGCAGGGGAGCACGTGGCTTGAATTCCTCCACGTTGAGCTCAGGGGTGCAGGGGCGCCTGTAGCTCGCGGGCAGAGACAGTCCGTGGGCTCCTCGCCGAGAGAGAGCTGAGGGCAACAAAGCAGAACTGAGAAGGGGTCAGGAAAAAGTGAAACCTCCTGGCTAACCAGCTTGGTGTGACACCCAGCTGAAAGCACAGAGAGAGCCGAGTCCAGTGGAAATCCTTTTATGTGAGGACTGTGTGTTTGTATTTATTTTGTAAAGCACCAGTTAATATACGAATAATGGCCGTGTGATTATTCTAAAAGCCAGACAGTTCTGCTAGGAAGACTAGGATTTGTAACAGCCTTGAGATATTTTTCTCATTTTGCTCACAATATAAAGGATACTTGAATTAATATTGATGCTGAAGTAAAATCTGAGGTGGCCTTGGTAGTAAACCAGTGAACAATACAAGGGAGAAACACAAAGAGAAGGGGAGTTTGGGAGCTTGTTTGGTCACATCTCCCAAAAAACCCCAGATCTAGCATTATGCATTTGTTTTATTTTGCCTTTGTCCAGGGACATTAATTATCCTCAAACAGCACAACTGGGTGACGGAGCAGTGAGTTACCGTGTGGCACGCAGGGCGTTGAGGCACACTGAAGCCTGTTAAGGTGAAAGCCATTTCTGAAGAACTCGGAGGACTGGTTAGGCTGTGCAAATGCCTTACCAGGTACCAGGGCATAGTTACCCATTTACCGTATGGGACTAATGGAGCACAGGCTGTGTAACGCTGGAGCGTGTTCAGATAATCCATTTACCGGAACGGGGAATGTACACGGTGCTGGCTGGGGACGGTTTATGCTGCGGAATAATGACATGGCCTTTGTTTTCACATGTTTGATGTCTTCCTCTCTCTGTTTTCCTCTTGAATTAGCAATATCACACCAGGAAGCAAAGCTTTCTTGTGCAGTAAGTGTTGCTGTTTTATTGGAGCAGCCTTGAGAATTACTGGGAGGTGACACCAACTGGCAAACACTCCACACGTACGAACTGTGCTGATGAGCACTACCCCTCCCTCTCCTTTGTCTGTGTGAAAATAAGGGATGCACGCAGATTAGTTACAACTGAGCTCTGCACACAGCAAACGCAGCTCTGAGTAGCTTTGCATATGTTGTTGAAGCAATAACGGTTAACAAGAAATTTTACAGCAATTAATAGAAACTGAATGAGGATTATTCTTCCAACTGGTCGGTAGCTATCGCAAAACACTGCACTAAAGGTCGTTATCGCTATTAAGGACCTGGATTTTGCAGATAAGCATTTGTTTACTGTATCATCTTTACTCAGGCTTTAATGAGCAGTGCACCTGCTAATTGTCGCAGCAGAGATGCCTGTTTACCCTACGTTCTTTAGGGGGTTATGGCACACTCCTCCCTGTGATATCTGACCACCTTCTGGGTGTGCAGTGAGTGAGCAACTGGCCCAGGGCCGCCCTTTCCTCCAGCCCAGAGCAGAAATTAACTCATGAATTTAAGTCTTACTGCTTCTGTTCTGAGATCATACTAATGAAAACAAGGCCGGGGAAAAAAATGTGATGGAGAAGGTTTGTCCTACAGGAAACGATCCTATTTGTCCTATACGCTTTTTTGGTTTAGTGATGACGACCCTATGTGTTCTCAGACTGGGAAAGATGACCTGGAGGACTGGGAGGAACAGGCAATTCCCTGTTCTACCATCCCTGCTTTGTTTACCCTTGAAGACCCCTTTATGACGGGGGATCGGATTAGGAGCGCGTGTCCTGGGGGTTATGGACTCTGTGCACAGCTCTCGCTGGGCTTCGGGTTACTTTGCTCATTCACAAAGAACCACCCCAAAACCTGATTTGTCTTGCTTCTGCATTGAGGTATCACCCCAGTGCCTTGGTCCTTTCTTTCTTCCTTCCATTTGGGACCCAATTCAGTCATCCCCATGAAAGAAAAAAATCAGTCTAGATGAATCCACCCATACAGATAGTAAAAGATCTGGTTGTTGCTTTTTAACTTGAGACATTAAAAGAGTTTGTTGTGCATCCACCTCTACTAAGCCTTTATGTAGGGGAAGCGAGAGCGAAGCAAATGAAGACGTTTGTACCTGTACTACACACTAATAGACACTTGACTGGGGGCAAGGCTTAGGACAGAGCAATTTCTGTTCTACAGAAAAATGACTATGGGTTTCATGGGTATGCTAAGCAGGCCTAGCCAAGAGCCACGCTCGCCATTAATTCCAGCTCATAAACTCCAGCATTGCAGAAGACTGTGCTAGAGACAAATAGCAATGAAACAAAATGACTGTTGGAGTTTTCAAGAAAAAGTAGCAATGTCAAGAAAAGCAGAAAACAGTTGTGACTGCCAGGAAATGATAAAGCATCAACATCAAGATGCATCACGGCACAGAAGTCAGTTACTCAATAACTTCTTCGGCACAGGCAGCAAGTGGCTAAATAGCTGAAGAAGTGCCACTCAGCCGCTGTTTGAATAACCGTTAGCAGCTCGGTGAACATCTATTTGTTCGTTTATTTAAATTTAAAATGCGGAGCACACCCGGGGGCACCACTGGGAGGGCAGGGAGCTGGTGCCGTGCCCCCTGAGCGCAGCGGGGCTGGCGGCTGCCCGCCCC